TGTTGATGATGATGATGATGATGATGATGATGATGATGATGATGATGATGATGATGATGATGATGATGATGATGATGATGATGATGATCGATGATGATCGATGATGATCGATGATGATCGATGGTGACTGATGATGACTGATGATGACTGATGATGACTGATGATGATGATATTGATATTGATGATGATATTGATATTGATGATGACTGATGATGACTGATGATGACTGATGATGACTGATGATGATGATTGATGATGACTGATGATGATGATGAGATGATGATGATGATGATGATGATGATGATGATGATGAGATGATGATGATGATGACTGATGATGACTGATGATGATGATGATGGATGATGATGATGATGAGATGATGATGATGATATTGATATTGATGATGACTGATGATGTCTGATGATGACTGATGATGACTGATGATGACTGATGATGTCTGATGATGACTGATGATGACTGATGATGACTGATGATGACTGATGATGACTGATGATGACTGATGATGACTGATGATGACTGATGATGACTGATGATGTCTGATGATGACTGATGATGATGATGATGATGACTGATGATGACTGATGATGACTGATGATGATATTGATGATGGTGATGATGGTGATGATGGTGATGATGATGATGACTGATGATGACTGATGATGACTGATGATGTCTGATGATGACTGATGATGACTGATGATGATATTGATATTGATGATGATTGATGATGATAATTGATGATGATATTGATGATGATTGATGATGATATTGATGATGATATTGATGATGATATTGATGATGATTGATGATGATATTGATGATGGTGATGATGATGATGATATTGATGATGATATTGATGATGATATTGATGATGGTGATGATGATATTGATGATGGTGATGATGATATTGATGATGATGATGGTGATGATGATATTGATGATGATATTGATGATGATATTATTGATGATGATTGATATTGATATAGATAGTGATAACGATGAAGATGATGATGCACGAATAAGAATCTAAAAATATATATCACGACAGCTGTGATAAATGTAGCGGATAATAATTTACATAAAATAGAAGGTAATCATGTATCGTGAACAATAACGTGAACAACATGACGCTTCTTTGCAATATCTATTTTTTCAAAAGAACCATCAATAATACCATGAAGACAAAAAGTAAAGCAGCAGATTTTAAAAATATCCTACAAATCAATGACGAACAGCTAAGCTACCTTTATGCTTACGAACGAAGCCACAAGTCTTAATAACATATTAAAAATCTCATAACTTCCACTTCAAATTCAATACACTGTGACCAGAAATGCCAGCTGCACTGCTAATGGCTAGACATGCAAATGATTAAAGCTTAGTCACCCACACGCTCTCAGGGTAAGAGAGACACTTCACCCTCCACTCTCTCCTCCAAACACGGGGTTACAAAATACACAAATGCAGCGCACGACTCAATCGGTTTGGTTGGCCGAAGATCATTCAGGATTCGCGAAAGGTGGTTTGTTGTTGAAAAAATACTTTGGCGTGCAACACAACCATGCATTCCCCCGTCATATCTTCCATTAAATAACATTGATGATACAGATATCACGTATAGGGATCGCTCTCTACACTGAGAGTATTATCACGTTGTAAAATCTAGGCTTGTTGAGTAACGAACAGAAAAAGAAGCCTTACAAAAGCATTACACCGGAAAGGTCACGTCTTCACCTCAAACACATGCTGGCCGAGTCAACAACACGGCTCGACATGATTCCCGGCGGCCAAAGCCTGATCGGTGCCCACGTTATGACTGGACCACGCGGGCTTTGGCTCGCCGAGGATCAATTCTTTCAATATTTGATCTGCCGTTTCCATCAACAGGTGGCACTCCGAAATCATATTCTTCCAAAATGACATGTTTCCATTTTTTTTCCACTCACCTCAAATGGACATTCAAACATTTGCTTTCCACTGCACTAACCTCAGTTTATCCGAACCACGTCAACCGCGGGCGCAAAATTTCATATTCTCCAGCCATGAGTGCTTGTCTAGGACTTCCGGTCAGGCCGCCTCGCCACAAACACCCGCTCGCACTGCAGCAATCTTCACATTTCAACTCGTAAATCACGGCACATTGCTACGAAACGTGAGACATATCCGTCCGTTGAACTCTACGCAATAAATCACTTCACATTCACAGACGAGTTAATAAACTAAGTAAAGCAGAGAGTCCCTCACTGGAAGAGAGGGGCGACGCGCTGGTGCGTCCACTGGCGAATGCGGCGAGACTAAACTTGACCAGCCTTGAGACACCCAAAGCACTTCTAATACCTCACGCACCCCCCTCCCGCCTTGACCTCACGTGACCTCGTCCTCTCCTCCTCACCCTTCCCTCTTCCCCCCGACCGGAACACACCACGACCCCCCTCCGTAAAATCCCCGATTCCTCACCACAGAGCAGCGCATGACACGC